ATATTTCACACAGATAATGTCAACAAGATCGCTATTTTCTGTTTATTGTCATGTTAATGTCCACTACGAACAGCCTTGGGCTCAGTCATTCAAGGCGAACCGATGAACATCACGCACTAGCTAGACCATGGAGGAATCCATGGCTAGACGTACAGAGGGAAATCACCTTCTCCGCAAGGGGAAGTTGATTTCCGTCTGTGAGCACCGTGAATTTAAAACATCCATGTCATGTATCCATCCCACAGTGCAACGTGGGATAAAAGTTAATAAGCAACGCAACGATTTTCAGACGAAATAACGCAATAATTACACCCTGTGAATGAACCGTTCTTCGTACAGTCCCAATAGCATTGCCATGGAGATTATCTATTAATTAAAATGACACACCAGTAAAATGTTAGATAAAGTGATAGTTACGCCTTCCATTGTTTTAATAAAGTGCATTATCGCCTTATGAATACTTAAAAATCGATTGTAATCAACCTGGAATGAAAAAGGAACCCAAAGCAATTGTTTCTACGACGGCTCTTTTTCAGTAGACGTTTAATTCGGATTTGGTATGTCATTAGATTCATCAGTCTACATGTAAACTACACTCACATTCCCCAAAAAAATTGGAAATTTGCAGAGAATGAAATTTAAATTCGTTAGATTTATTTTAGATTTGACTAAATTTGAGTAAATTTTTTGAGCTTATTAAATATGAAAAAAAAAGCCTGAAAAGGCTACGCTTGATGTCGCCGGTGGTTGGCTGAGTTTAGGTCTATCCCTACCTATTGTTTATTGTTTACCAAACAAGGCTAGCATTCTTTTTTGGCTTCTTATCAATCCTTATAGAAGTACAATGAAACATCATTGCAACAGTATTTTCCAGATGAGGTCAAACTATCCGATCGTGTTGGATGTCTGTTGCCGCCAGAAAATATATAAATAACATTCTAAAATCTGTATCTGTACTTCCAGCAATTTGAGGACTGAGACAAATGTAACATTTTCAATATGTAGAAATTTGAAGTAAACCGATCCCGTAGTTTTGGAGTTATGAACCCGGAAAGACACACAGACATCCACACACCGGCGCGCACTATTGCAATATCTCCTCGGAGAGGTGAGGGTAAATACTGCTTACTATGTTTTTGTAATTTGTACTTTTTGTGATTATTGTTTTCATGTTTCTTGTTATGTTAACTCACATAACAGGATTGCCTTTTGGATTTAATGTGAGGTTTTTATACCAAATAAATAAGAAATATAAATAAAGCAATTCAAACAAATTTGCAACATAAAACTTAATAGTGTGTATAGTACTTAAGATTAGTAGAAGTACGATACTCCCCAGAAATTAGATATTTGAAATGTTGGTGTAACCATTCTAATAAAATAATACAGATACAGATTATATAAATCTGAGCAACTTGTGACATATAAAAAATATGATGCACTTCCAGCAAAAAAGCATTACGCAAGATGAAGATGCAACATCAAAATAACAATAGTTACCTTCACAGTCAATATCTACACAGGATGGGAAGACACCAGTATTTGGGTCAAATGTGAAATCTGGATTGGCGGCATCATTTTTCTCCAGGACAACACATAACTGAACTGTGGCAGGGCAGATGAAGTCTGTTAAATCTACGGTTACTGTTAGATCCGAAAGCTGAATATCTGTTCCTGCAGTTATGTCTTTACTGGCCTCACTGACAGATATCACAACATTCTCTTCAGAGGTGAAGTTATTTCCATTCTGTAAAACAGATATTTAGAATTTAATAAATTGTTTTTTTTCTAACTTAACAATATTTCCACACAAGATCATACTCTCCCCGTGAACGTTTTTTTTTTAATTCCGGGACTGTAGTTTAATAGTTTAGGATGCTCACCTTCCAATCCCATGAATTTAGGTTCAATCCCTCTCACTGTTAAACAAGATTGGGGGTGCCAAGGGGGTTTGATTTTTTGTGGACGTATAGGCTTTGCATAAAATGAAACTAAACACTGTTGCACTGTTGTTTCAGGTCAAATAAATATTGTGGTGCAAAAGCATATTTAGGTCATACTCCCCCCGTAAAAACCCAACCAGAGATTTTTATTCCGGGAGGCAATATAGTCAGTCACTTGGTTTGAATCTTCTGTCGGACATCTTAGACCCTCTGTAAGCAAATTTCTGGAGCTACCACTAGACTGTAGATTAATAGCTGTGCTTATGATGCTGACCTTCCAATCCCATGAATTTAGGTTCAATCCCTCTCAATGTTAAACAAGATTGGGGGTGCCAAGGGGGTTAGATGCTTTGAGGGGTTTAGATGTTTTGAGGATATTAAGGCCATTTTCTTAATAGGCTTTGCATAAAATGAAACTAAACACTGTTGTTTAAGGACAAATAAATTAATTAATAAATTAATATATCAACCAACGTTACCCTGTCCTTCAGATCTGCAGTAAGCTTCCAAAGATTATCACCAGATATACTGGCCCCATACGCGTAAGATGAGATGGTCATTGAAAATGTAATTGTATTATTACTTCTTTCAACAACTGGATCACCACTTGAGGTAGAGACAGATGTACCTGTGATCTCAACACCTATAAATTAAAGCAAAGTTGATGCAATAACAACATCAGTGATGATAAATGATGATATAATGACAATTGTTCTTTAACAAGTTGTCAATAATGATGAGGATATTGATGTTGATGTTAATGCTGATGATAGTGTTGATGATGATGATGACCAAGATGATGATGACGACAACAACGATGTTGACGATGATAGCAAGGATGGTTTTATTTAAATTGCAAAGAAATGATTACTGTAGACGATTTTGGTTCTGATGATGATAAACATAGGTGTACAATGATAATTTTGGTGATGATGATGGTAAAATTTTATGTTAATGGGCACAATAATCTGATTTAAGATTTTGACAATGGAGAAAATAATACATGGTGATAAAGGATGTAAATAATGATGATTAGAAGATAATGATAATGATAATTATGTGTTAATGATGATAGCAATGGTAATGCTTGGGGATTTGTATAGCGCATACATGGTCTCTATGCGCTGATACACAAAACAGAAAACAAAAACCCTAGCTTGAACTAACATCGAGTCTGTTAATTTAAATTTATTAAACAGTTCATGTACGTTTGGCTAATAAAATACATTCATTAATCAGCTTACCACGGCAATTTACAACGGCACAGTAGGGTGTCAGAGGATTTCCAGAAACTGTTGTCATACTAAATGTTGGGGTACTTGCAGGATCCCGCATGAACTCAACACAAAGGTAGTAAAAGGTATTAGGATCATCAAAACACTTCAGATCAGCCAAGTCCAATGATGCCGCAATACCTGTGAACTCCAATGTTGAGCCAGCTGTAGTTATCGCGGTGTTCTTCTGTTCTTCTGATAGAGAAGCAAAAGTTTCTCCATAGTGCTCTCCTGAGCCATCCTGATTTGCACTAACAAACACATTGAATTGCCACAGGTCTGTTCCGCTCAGAACTGCACTTGAGGCACTGGATTCGATCTCAAAACCAAATATAACATTAGTTGGTGAATGCTCCTTGATCTCATTGTCACTATATAAAATTCCAGTATCACCATCAATGACAACACCTGAGTAAGAACATAGAGCATGTTAGAATATTTATCATCATTAACATTTTTACCATTAGCATAATAATGCAATAACAATAATAATAATAATAATAATAATAATAATAATGAATAATAATAATAATAACAATAATTGAAAAACCGATGTATTGATTCTATCCTATTATCATCATCATGTTCAAAATCACTATCATTATCATGTTATGCCATCACCACAATAATTATATCATATCATCATAACAAGAAGTTTAAGATGATAGAACAAACAATTATAATTAACAGTTTCATTATCAACATAAATACCACATTCATCATTTGTCATGATACCGTAATCATCTTTATCAGATTATAACTACTAACATCATCAAAATCCCCAACATCGTCACCACAAACATTGCTATTATAAATTTGTGTCTTTTGATAATGTTTACATACCACTTTGGATTTAAGTCCTTGAATATTAAAGTAAATCAGTTTTAAGTTGTCACTAACCTTTGCATGTTACAGGAATACAAGATGGGTCAGATGGAAAGGAGATAGTAATATCTGGTGTAACATCACTACGCTTGGAAGCCAAGATACAGAGGTACTGCATGTCATCACAGATCAAGCCATATGTATTTAAAGGAGTATCAGTCGTTGAAAATATCCGAGGATTAACAGTGCTTACCCCATAGGCCAACTCTTCAGCTGTTAAAAGAACGACAGTGGCAGAGCCACTTATTACGCTGCCATTACTCTGAGGACTGGTGAACAAAGTTAGGTTCCAAATGTTTGAGGCTTCATTATCTACATAGGGGGGAACATATAGTATTAATAAAATCTAGTTAAATTACTTCATATAAATGCTAATGTGAGATGTATCCATGATAATAATTACATTTTTTATCCACATATTTTGATCTTAATTTCAATGTAAAACATATAGTTTACGTGTCAACAGCCGCTGAATGTAAGATTCCAACATCTGCATTTATTAATCATGAGTTTAATTTGCTTAAGCATTTTGTTCACATTAACAATATATTTGCAATGTCATGATGTCTAAACAAATGAAAAATAACACTATATAGTTAGTATTTTATATATTAAAAGAAAAATTGAAATATACAAATGTAAAATGTAACCTCTATAGCAGATCCTTTAGTCATTTTAATCAGACAATTTAATTTTAATTTCAATGTATAAATATTATTAACTTAATAAAAATTGTGATAAATTAGGCAGACTTTTTTTCTAAATAAGATTAGTAATAAAAAGATGATTGTACAGTTTGGAATGAACAGCTTTCTCAATGATTTTTTGAACAGAAAGGAAGAACAGAAATATGACGATAATTATCAATGCGACAGGGATTACCAGATTTGAAAACCAGAGTAACCAAAGCCCTTTTCCAGTCCTGAGGAACAATGCTTTGTGAAAGAGACATGTTACATAGATGAGTAATAATAGGACAAATGACATGGGCTGCTGACATCGAAAGCTTCCCAGTCATGTTGTCCAGACCTGACAACTTGGAAATATTCATCTTTAAAAT